GAGGGCGCTCACAGGACGACTCCGGCTCCACGTGAGGGCGCTAACAGGACGACTCCGGCTCCACGTGAGGGCGCTCACAGGACGACTCCGGCTCCACGTGAGGGCGCTCACAGGACGACTCCGGCTTCACGTGAGGGCGCTCACAGGACGACTCCGGCTCCACGTGAGGGCGCTAACAGGACGACTCCGGCTCCAGGACGGCGCTCAAAGGACGACTCCGGCTCCACGTGAGGGCGCTCACAGGACGACTCCGGCTCCACGTGAGGGGGCGCTCACAGGACGACTCCGGCTCCACGTGAGGGCGCTAACAGGACGACTCCGGCTCCACGTGAGGGCGCTCACAGGACGACTCCGGCTCCACGTGAGGGCGCTCACAGGACGACTCCGGCTCCACGTGAGGGCGCTCACAGGACGACTCCGGCTCCACGTGAGGGCTCTAACAGGACGACTCCGGCTCCCCGGCTCCAGGACGGCGCTCAAAGGACGACTCCGGCTCCACGTGAGGGCGCTCACAGGACGACTCCGGCTCCACGTGAGGGCGCTCACAGGACGACTCCGGCTCCACGTGAGGGCGCTCACAGGACGACTCCGGCTCCACGTGAGGGCGCTCACAGGACGACTCCGCCTCCACGTGAGGGCGCTCACAGGACGACTCCGGCTCCACGTGAGGGCGCTCACAGGACGACTCCGGCTCCAGGACGGCGCTCACAGGACGACTCCGGCTCCACGTGAGGGCGCTAACAGGACGACTCCGCCTCCACCTGAGGGCGCTCACAGGACGACTCCGGCTCCACGTGAGGGCGCTCACAGGACGACTCCGGCTCCACGTGAGGGCGCTCACAGGACGACTCCGGCTCCACGTGAGGGCGCTAACAGGACGACTCCGGCTCCACGTGAGGGCGCTCACAGGACGACTCCGGCTCCACGTGAGGGCGCTCACAGGACGACTCCGGCTCCACGTGAGGGCGCTCACAGGACGACTCCGGCTCCACGTGAGGGCGCTAACAGGACGACTCCGGCTCCAGGACGGCGCTCAAAGGACGACTCCGGCTCCACGTGAGGGCGCTCACAGGACGACTCCGGCTCCACGTGAGGGGGCGCTCACAGGACGACTCCGGCTCCACGTGAGGGCGCTCACAGGACGACTCCGGCTCCACGTGAGGGCGCTAACAGGACGACTCCGGCTCCCCGGCTCCAGGACGGCGCTCAAAGGACGACTCCGGCTCCACGTGAGGGCGCTCACAGGACGACTCCGGCTCCACGTGAGGGCGCTCACAGGACGACTCCGGCTCCACGTGAGGGCGCTCACAGGACGACTCCGGCTCCACGTGAGGGCGCTCACAGGACGACTCCGGCTCCACGTGAGGGCGCTCACAGGACGACTCCGGCTCCACGTGAGGGCGCTCACAGGACGACTCCGGCTCCAGGACGGCGCTCACAGGACGACTCCGGCTCCACGTGAGGGCGCTAACAGGACGACTCCGCCTCCACCTGAGGGCGCTCACAGGACGACTCCGGCTCCACGTGAGGGCGCTCACAGGACGACTCCGGCTCCACGTGAGGGCGCTCACAGGACGACTCCGGCTCCACGTGAGGGCGCTCACAGGACGACTCCGGCTCCACGTGAGGGCGCTCACAGGACGACTCCGGCTCCACGTGAGGGCGCTCACAGGACGAGTGCAGAATGAATGGAGGTCTATGGAGATAGATCCCTTAAAATCCACTTTTCTCAGGATAAAATTTTTTGTCTAGTAATTTGAATGTTGTATTCGAAACGAGATGCAAAGAAATTACACATTGTTGGGTGTTAGATTATTTAGAGTCACTTATTTGCTTTAAAAAGTCTTTTAAAATGTCAATGACGTCACACACATCGTGCAACCAGAGATAATGCTTTACGGCAATCCTTCAGTCACTGGTGCGTTCGCGCTCTGCACTTTCTGTTCTCTCGACACAGCGGACACAGGTAAACACACGAGCTAGAAGAGTTTTGGAAAAACTAAAAGTCCTTAACATTCTGGTCCCGCTTCGGAGGCCACAATGCCATCAAGCGGTGTCTCTGGTCGTAATCAGTCCTTCACTGACCAATCAGCGTCCATTAGGAGAATGTTAGCGTGTTATGGGCAACAACAACTCAACCTGTAAGAAATGGAAAGGACATAAGCACTCGTTCATTCAACTTTCGACCTATAACCCATGTTGAACTTGCAAAACCTACAATCAAATCTGAGATTTCTCAACGGCAATCGGGTGAGAGAGACACATTTAGCCGTCTAGCTCCATAGACTCCCATTCACTCATGCACTCGGGCGATCGCCCCCAATGGAACTCTGGTGGAACTACAACCACAATTCAATAGGACTTAACCCTCTGGGGACGGATTGGGCGGTACCGCCCAAAATGGCATACTTTTACAAATGTGTAATTATCTTAAAAACTATTAATTATAGAGAGCTGCGGTCTTTTTTACCGTCTTCCTCAGATTCCGCTGAAAACAGTGATACCCGGCTTTGTAAATATGCACACTTCCTTGTTGCGCAATACCACTATGTAAAAGGCCAATGAAATCGATGTTGTTTGGCAGATTCCGCGAACAACAACCAATGGAAAAATTGCCGATGGAGAAATATTTTTCTTACACAATCAGAGGAATGTTACCATGACCTTTCTAGCAAATCAAAGGACTCTGTACCTTTTCAAGGGGTGGTACTATATAGTTAGGGATATGACGCAAACAGCGTTGAATGGAGAGAAGGAGAGAGAGCGAACGGAGGCTTACGGAGCGGATTATCAGAGATTTATATGAGAGAGAGACAGAACAATTATAATATATATATATATTTATATACACTTTGGGTGTAATGATACACAAACCTGACGGTTCGGTTCGTCCCACGGTTTTGAGGTCTCGGTTCGGTTCGGTTCGGTTCATTTCGGTGGGGTGGGGGGGTTTAGAAAGCTAAAATTGCTTTTATTTTTTATTAAACAGTGCTTTAATGAACAAATTGTGTCCTTGTCTTTAAATTAATTCAATTACAAGTAAACGTTTCTCAAGAATAACAAAATGATCTGCTAATGCTGTAAACTACAGCCCTTACTTGCACATTACTATAACATTAAAGCTTAACAAGCCTAGACTTTTAGCCTAAATGATATAATAATAATCAACACTCAAATAACAAATTTTATGAAAACATGTAAACTGCACATAAGGCAATTTTTGCATTAACATGTTTTTACTCTAATTTGTTATTGTTATATAATAATTTACACAGTCGCTGTTATTTTCATGACAACTATTTTAAACATACATTAAATAATCAAGATATCATAAACAGGTTAAGTAAAATATAATATATAGGCTAATATATAGCATTTATTTAGTGAAAGAGTTAGCAAACCAGCAAGCTGTGGACACTGAATGACTTGCCTGAGGTAAATATAAAGCTATGTGAAAAACTAAGCGTTTTATTGACGTATTTCCGCTGTTGAAACACTGATTGAGTGTTTACACGAGTTATGATGCCTTTCAGTAAGTATACTGTATCTTTCAACATACCTTCGGGTGTCCATTCATGTTTATTCTGTAACTGAGGAAGAGATGATCGCGCTCCGCGCTGCCGCATGCATACAGTGATATCTGTCACGCCACATCTAAGAGCGCCAAAACGGCATTTATTGTTTGCATTTCGTGATCAAATAGACATAATTTGAAAGATTACACCTTGCTTATTATCAAAAGTAACAAAACACTGAGCTTATTGCGATTATATGTGGTTAATGGTGGTTAGGCAACAGCCCTGTATTCGTTATGTACACATAACACATGAGGTGCAATGAGCCGGGTCTGGGCGGGGCCGCAGGGGGCGGGGCGTGTTCGGTTCGCCATGAGAGTATCACGATACGTATCGTAGGTGGTGTATCGCGGTTTTTCGGTTCGGTTCAAATATCGTTACACCCCTAATATACACATACATACAATTATAGCATTATTTATTGTTTTAGCACTTTTATGATGGCAAGCAGTAAACGATTTACGGTGGAACAAGCTCTGGAACAATTACTGGAGAGTGACGAGAAGAAAGCATTGCTTAGAAAATTCTAAGCATTCCTAAGAAAAACGCCTGGGACTATTTGTAAATAAAGTTACATTTTTCATTGTTCTTTACACATTTTATTTAACAATTACACATGTCTGTCAAGCAAAGGCTTTGACAAATATATTTTTTGTTCAAAAACTGTTCAATATTTTTGTGTGATGTGTGATTTTCAGAAATAAATGAGAAAAATCTAATTTCAGTTTATGAAATTCTCTAGTTTATAGTACATTTTTCACTCATACTTCCTTTATAAACACATTACATGCATGCTTATGTTATCTTAGGGTCTTCTGAATCCATAGATACCAAACACATAGTGATCCATCTCCATTACATATGGTTTATAAGCCCAAATGTAAAAATAGAGAAAACGGACCAAAAAGGACTTAGTCCCCAGAGGGTTAATAGGGAGTGGCCAGGCTCTCAGTAGACAGGCTCTGGCGATAGTTTTTCTTAAATGAGACTGTAAAATGCTGATGAACTTCAGTGACTCTCAGAGACGGCTCTGCAAATGCATTCATGTTTCTCATATAGTGAGACTGCAGAGTGTGTGTGTGTGTGTGTGTGTGTGTGTGTGTGTGCGCCACTCATTCACAAAGAGTCCCACAGAACATGCAGGATTGGTGTTTAAATAGTCTCACTCGCGTCCAGATGCGTTCTCAGGCACCGACATTTGTCACCGATTGATTTATTTTGAATCGGTCCTCGGTAGTGCCGACGTCATTCGGTCGGTGCCAATCAAAGGTCAGAGTTCGGTACCCGACCCGACCTTGATTGTAGGCGCTTTATTCTAGCCCGGATATGGATCATACACAGTGTGCAGTAAACCCTGTGCCGTGAGCTTACGTGAGCCTGAAGCTCTGAGCGCTCGATGCCTGATGGAGTTGTGTGTTTCCCCAGGGAGCTTCCCGAGGTCAGTCGGATCCCGTTCTTCTCGCCGGTCCCGACCCGGGGCCAGTCAGAGTTCGGCTTCGGAGAGTCACATGGTCTGGCCGAGCCGCTGAGCCGCTACGACCTGGATGACCTGGACGTGGCCTGGCTGGAGCTGGTCAATGCGGAGTTCAGACAGCTGGGTGAGCATTTCTCTTAAACCGTGCAATTTTGTTATCTTAAAACAAGTTGGTATCAACTTATGGAATTAGTCGAGTCACATGTATTTCTATAAGAGGTGAAACTACTCACTCGTTTTCTCAATGAAACATGTTTTTTTGAATCGTGAATCATTTGTTCTGGTCAATAATTGATTTAAAATGCTAAGGATCGAATGAGTCACGATTCAATGTTTCAAAATATATGCGCATTAAATTATTACATGTGCGCATGAAAGTTTAAAGAAACATTTCTATACCTTAGACTGATTTTAAATAGTTATTTTGGCTGCTCTGAGTGAAGCCCAGCTTAGTCACGGACACGCAGTTATTGCATGGATAAAGACAGGAGCTGAAACATGATATGTCATAAAGTGTCTGAAATGTATTCTGTTGAATGATTAAAGTAATGTAGCGTATGCAGTGTTATGAGCCGGGCTGTTCAGCGGAGAAAAGTTAGTTTAGGTTTAGTTGAGAAGGTGCGTGATATTCTAGATTTGTCTATCCAGGTTTAATGTGAATCACCGTGTAGCCTTTACAGCACTATCCTACACAGCACTTAACATCAACTAACAATACTTTTAAGCCTTTTTAAATCTTGGCTTCTGACAATTTTAATAGGCTTTTAAAATAAAGTAATGTAGCATTATTAAGAACTAACATGATCTAACAAAAGGTCCCCCACTCCTGAGGTACAGTATATTTCACATTAGGGATGCAGCGATATGAACATTTTGGCCGATACCGATAACCGATAATTCTTTATATTTGAAAGCCGATAACCGATATATTGGCCGATAACCCTAAATTTCTTATATCCAATCATATTTCAAGCAGTTCAAAAGCATGGCGAACAGTGCGCATCTGAAGCGTCTCAGCTGAAGGAAATAATACATTATTTATCAGCTTTAATATACAGGTGAAACTCAAAAAATTAGAATATGGTGCAAAAGTTCATTTATTTCAGTGATTCAACTTAAAAGGTGAAACTAATATATTATATAGACTCATTACATGCAAAGTGAGATATTTCAAGCCTTTAGATGATTATGGATTACAGATATGAAAACCTTTTCACAATATTCTAATTTTGAATTTGGGGTTTTCATAAGCTGTAAGCCATAATCATCAACATTATTCATCTCTGCTTGTAATTTCTGTATATATTCTTATTTTATTACTGACCGTTCAATTTGTTATTATTAATGTTTGAACTTTATCAGTTAGGCTAGTAGTTTTTGAAGTGGTATCGAAGAACTTCCAAGTGAGCTTTAAAGGGGCACTTGGCAACTATTTCAACTTAATAAAACCGTTTAGAAATCATTTGGATGGTTCACTAACCTGTTCTGGAGAGAGTGGTGGCTTTCCCCGCGTCCCCGGCGGAGAACCATTCTTGCAACATGAGGACTAACGTCCCGGTAAGAGGGAAATAAAAGTCTCGTGAAAAGCGAGAACGAGCGAGAAACACAAACTGCTTTATGGCAATTCGACATAATTCTATGATGCTGTGTATGATGTATTACCCACTCGGTAGACACAGCTCCACACGATAGAGTTGGCCGGCTCCGATAATAACACATGCAAATAAGCAGCGGGAGACAGCGGGATCAGGCGCCGCAAGTGAGTTTCTTTACGACAGTGTTGTGAAATATACGCCCACATCTGTAGGGGGCGCTGATGAGAACACAGGCGACAACAAAAGTGAAAATCAGCGAGAGAGTTGAGCTAGAGCTGCCAAGTGCCCCTTTAAGTAATAAATAAAAAAAAGCAATAAGTATTCCTTCCTAAATCCTCAATACAACTATATAGGGAAAACCCGTAACGCCAAAGATGGCGGTTGTATGCACATGCCCCGCCCCCCCCCGCTGGAAAGCCAATCGTCTGCTTTTAACAGTCAAGCCGGGAAACATGTAAGCCTATCGTCTGGTTCCACTGACGCATGCGCACAGCTGAGGTTTGCGACAGCGGAGACGAGAACCCTTGCGCATGCGTAGTAAACGTATAACCTGTGGGGAAAAGGGCGTTTTAAACCTTATTTTGGGGCAAAGTCATCAAACTTTTTCAGCGATTTTTATCATATTTTACTGCTGTTTCTATACAAGCAGTTTTTATGTCCCGGTGACCAGTGAAACTGCAGTTCTGACACTCTGCCCATTCATTTAAATAGGAGCCTGGTCTTGTTAGTCCGAAATAGCTGCCCGGAGGCGTTGCCAGGGCTCAACATAAAAAAAAATCCCCACTGGCCCCCAGGGCCAGTAGATCAGAGTTTTACTGGCCCCTTCTACACTCACCGGCCACTTTATTAGGTACACCTGTCCAACTGCTCGTTAACACTTAATTTCTAAGCAGCCAATCACATGGCGGCAACTCAGTGCATTTAGGCATGTAGACATGGTCAAGACAATCTCCTGCAGTTCAAACCGAGCATCAGTATGGGGAAGAAAGGTGATTTGAGTGACTTTGAACGTGGCATGATTGTTGGTGCCAGAAGGGCTGGTCTGAGTATTTCAGAAACTGCTAATCTACTGGGATTTTCACGCACAACCATCTCTAGGGTTTACAGAGAATGGTCCGAAAAAGAAAAAACATCCAGTGAGCGGCAGTTCTGTGGGCGGAAATGCCTTGTTGATGCCAGAGGTCAGAGGAGAATGGCCAGACTGGTTCGAGCTGATAGAAGGGCAACAGTGACTGAAATAACCACTCGTTACAACCGAGGTATGCAGCAAAGCATTTGTGAAGCCACAACACGCACAACCTTGAGGCGGATGGGCTACAACAGCAGAAGACTCCACCGGGTACCACTCATCTCCACTACAAATAGGAAAAAGATGCTACAATTTGCAAGAGCTCACCAAAATTGAACAGTTGAAGACTGGAAAAATGTTGCCTGGTCTGATGAGTCTCGATTTCTGTTGAGACATTCAGATGTTAGAGTCAGAATTTGGCGTAAACAGAATGAGAACATGGAACCATCATGCCTTGTTACCACTGTGCAGGCTGGTGGTGGTGGTGTAATGGTGTGGGGGATGTTTTCCTGGCACACTTTAGGCCCCTTAGTGCCAATTGGGCATCGTTTAAATGCCACGGCCTACCTGAGCATTGTTTCTGACCATGTCCATCCCTTTATGGCCACCATGTACCCATCCTCTGATGGCTACTTCCACCATGTCACAAAGCTCTAATCATTTCAAATTGGTTTCTTGAACATGACAATGAGTTCACTGTACTAAAATGGCCTCCACAGTCACCAGATCTCAACCCAATAGAGCATCTTTGGGATGTGGTGGAACGGGAGATTCGCATCATGGATGTGCAGCCGACAAATCTGCGGCAACTGTGTGATGCCATCATGTCAATATGGACCAAACTCCCTGAGGAATGCTTCCAGCACCTTGTTGAATCTATGCCACGAAGAATTGAGGCAGTTCTGAAGGCAAAAGGGGGTCCAACCCGTTACTAGCATGGGGTACCTAATAAAGTGGCCGGTGAGTGTATATTTTAACTGGCCCTGAAAGAAATAGAAGGAAAAGCACTTTTCCATTAAACTGTATTTATTGTATACATTAGGATTCATTTTTCTTGTCCCCTCACAATGACAGTAAACTAATTATTACATTACATGAGTGATGAGTAATATTACATAGGCCTATTTTCACTTCAAAATGGCGAAATTAGACAGAAGTATATTAGTTTGCCTGATTATTTTCGTCATTCGTTTAACATTTATGACCTAAAAAACTGTCAATGAAGAAAAAATGAAGAACGCGCTGAATCTGATTATAACAAGACTGAAGTGAAATTTGTGTAGCTTACACTTAATCACACATTTTTAGGGGGGCTAGGCAGAAGTTTAGAGGGGAATTTGATTACACTTTAGATAGTCCGTCGGCAGGCCGGTTATGCATTTTGGTCGGCTTTTGTTGGAAATTTCCGGCAAACGAAACAGTACATGCCCTCATCGCCTTTCTCCACCCTGGTGTACTGTGTTTTCCATGACACTAGGAATTAGGACTGGGCGATATGGCCAAAAAAATCATATCTCGGTATTTTTTGGTTAAATGGCGATATACGATATATATCTCGGTACTTTCTACGTTTTTCTATTTGGATAAAGAAAATCTGTATTTATTTAAAAAAAAAATGTTATTTCACATCCTGCTCAATGATATCCAAACAATATTGATATTGAAGGATATGGAAACAAATATAGGGAATGTAATGTAGGCTATGCAATATATTATGTGCAAAAAGGTTGTTAAAATCATATTACATTCTAACGTTGTAACATTACAATCTAAAAGCAAAAATAATGCTTTTGTTTTTAAAATGACTAAAGGCTAAACTAAAAATGAAAATAAAAACAAAAGCACAAACTAATTATATTAGCCTGCATTTGATTACCCCATTATAATGCTCACTTTCATAAAAACATACTTGTAGGTTTAAAATTCCACATATGGCACATTTATTGTCTCCAACAACAAATATTTTAGCAATATGTATCTTTTAGTCAGAATTATTGCGCTACTCTTCTATTGTGCTCGTCTGTTTGACGCGCATGCTCGCGGCAGCGCTCATTAACGGAAGCTTGAATATTAGCGGAGATTCACTTGCAGAAGCTCGTCCTCTCCTGACAGTGAAATGGACATATTTGTTTGACTTTCTAACATTTACAGATGGAGAATATACCTGTGAAATGTAAGTTAAGCACTGAGGAAAGCACCACGTCTCAAACGCATTAAACAGCGCAAGTATTTATCTCTCAGTCAGCAACAGTATCTGTCAACTATTCTACTGTCAGACTTGTTAACTATATCTTACCAGTATAAGCTTGTGTCATGTTTAGGACAAATTGTACTATGTTCTTTCACTGCAGGAGCTCACACTGCGTACTCCGCTATTTTTCAGATGTGCTCGTATCAAACTACTGTATCGAAACGGTATTGCCTCATTCCATATCGTTTAAAAAAAAATCGATATGCTGTAGCCTACAAACTCGATTTACCGCCCAGACCTACTAGGAATGTCCTCTTTCTCGTATCAGCCTCATAGTTCTTTGACATTTTAACACGTTATAAATAACCTGAAGTAACATTGACACTCTTCGCGCCACTGTATATGACGTTGGCTGTTTGTTTTGCTGATGGCCAGTCACTGGCCAATCAACTAGCCCGACATACTCTTTTACTGGCCCCGGGCCATCGGGCCATTGCTTATGTCGAGCCCTGGGCGTTGCCAAGATGGCGGCCGAGTGGCAGGACTTGCCTAAAAGGACTTTGGTTCTCCTCTCCTCTCCTCTGCTTCACCTGTGTGTGTGTGTGTGTGTGTGTCGCCAGCGCTGCCGGAGCTGGACGAGCTCACCATGGAGCAGGTTGTCCTGGAGCTGGAGAGCCGGTGTCAGCAGAACATGCAGCGGGCCATCGAGACGGAGGAGGGCCTGGGCATCGAGTACGACGAGGACGTGGTGTGTGACGTGTGCCGCTCGCCCGAGGGGGAGGACAGCAACGAGATGGTGTTCTGCGACAAGTGCAACGTTTGTGTGCACCAGGTAGTCCATCAAAAAATTACCCACATTGCATAGAGACAGAGCGCATTTAGGCCACGCCCACATCGGGGGGGAAACAATCCAACCGCCTCCATTGACTCCGCCTCCTTGTCATTTCTGACTTATAACAAAAAAACAAAATAATGTCTTAAAGCTGCTGTGTGACAGGTTGTCCAGCAAACAAGCTAAACAACCCAGAAATAAAATAAGTTTTTATAAGCTGTCGACCTAAAAAAACAAGCGTTTAAGGCAGGTGTGCCAGACTGTCCTGCACAGTTCATCTCCAACCCTAATCAAACACACCTGAAGCAACCAATTAAGGTCTTCAGGCTCACTTGAAAATTAAAGGCAGGTGTGTATAATTAGGGTTGGAGATAAACTGTGCAGGACAGTCGATCGGCTGGAGCAGGGTTGGGCACCCCTGGGTTAAGGAGAGAAAAGTGGATACAGGCACTTGAGAGAGAGCACAGCGTGTCATATTACCCTGAGAACTAACGTACGCCCGCTGGAGGCGACAGGATAGCTTAGCTTACAGAAATATCATATATAAAACTTGACATTTGGATATTTGACTTACCAGTGACTCCAGTGACTAAATGTTTACTGCACACTGAGGGCCAGATGTACTCACGCTTTTGCCCCCACTTCAGGCGTATTTGTTTCGGAGAGTGCGCATAAACCCATGGCGAGGTGTTTACGAACGGGACGCTCCGAGAGGAAAGCGCAGACTGCCTGTCGCGGGAACTGAAAATGGCGAAATGCGCTTCTCGTGTCATGCATATGTATTGATGGGATGGTCAAGGGGAAAGTGGGAGTGTCCCATAGAGAGATGGAGGGGAAGCGTAAACTGCGCCTAATTATGTATTCCGCGCTACGGACAGAAGAAGCCGGTGAAAGCGCGCCTCTATTCTGCACTGAAGATTCTCCGCCTCTTAAAAGCAGGAGTAACTTAGGAAGCGGGTTTATGGCGTACGCCTCCTGGTGAAACGGCAGGCGTAATCCGAGCCAGACGAAGACAGAGGCGAAGGAGACGAGCTGGAAAGAGTTTTGCCACAAGAATCACACTTTTACAGTTGAGTGAAAACGAATTACAGATTAAAGTGTTAGTTCACCCAAAAATGAAAATGATGTCATTAATGACTCTCCCTCATGTCGCTCCAAGCTCGTCAGACCTCCGTTCATCTTCAGGACACAGTTTAAGATATTTTAGATGTAGTCCGAGAGCTTTCTGTCCCTCCATTGTAAATGTGTGTACGGTATACTGTCCTTGTCCAGAAAGGAAATAAAGACATCATCAAAGTAGTCCATGTGACATCAGTGGGTTAGTTAGAATGTTTTGAAGCATCAAAAATACATTTTGGTCCAAAAATAACACAAACTAGGACTTTATTCAGCATTGTATTGACATGAGGGTGAGTCATTAATGACATAATTTTCATTTTCGGGTGAACTAACCCTTTAAGCAGCTGCGCAATATTACAGTTACTGGAAGAAATCAAAGATCGGCGTTCACATTCCCTTCCAGCCGTGGTTAAACTCCTCGCATTGCACCTACTGGCATCAGGATCATCTCTAACAGTCACAGCATCAGCAGTGAGAGGACGAGGCCCATTCAAGTGCACTTTAAATACGCTCAGTTTGCGGTATAGTGTGTGTGGAGAGGCGCTGATCACCTGATGAACTGCAGGTTTGGTACATAACACACACACTGCGGTCTCACATCAAGCACTTTCTGCGTCTTAACGCGGTGTTCGCAAATGTACGTACATCTGGCCCAAAGTGTATTTTTTTGAGCATACTGAGTGTCAGGATCCCACAATTTACACAGACTCATCGAACTGCTGATAACGACAGAACTAGCGCCCACAGTTGGCTAGCGATGCTTTGGGGAAACAGCCCTGATGTGTGCTCCTCATTGGCTGTGCTGAGAGTGCTGTTGTCTCCGCAGGCGTGCTACGGGATCCTGAAGGTGCCGCAGGGGAACTGGCTGTGCCGGACCTGTGCTCTCGGGGTGCAGGCCAAGTGTTTGCTCTGTCCCAGACGAGGAGGAGCGCTCAAACCCACTCGCAGTGGAACCAAGTGGGTCCACGTCAGCTGTGCCTTATGGATCCCTGAGGTATCAAATGAAGCTGGTCTGGGGATAGTGGCTGTAACAATACATCGCTCAAACGTCTAACGATACGATGCATCGATGCCACGCGTAAAATATCAATATGAGGTTCCTTTGTCCGTCGACACATTTCTGCTTTCGTTTACTCGCCATACTGTCTTTGTATGAACTTTAATTTCGTAAGTAACCTGTATTTTTATAATAGTTATTATTACTTGATCAAAACAACCCAGCTGCAGTTTGATTGATAATTATTTGTTTTTGCAAATCATCTCTTCTGTTGAAAATGCCCCAAATGGGAGAGGGCGTGCAATATTCAAAGAGTTTAATTAAACGTTCATGCTATATATTTTGGTTGCGTTTGTGAGTTAATAAAAATGTAACTGGTTGTGTAAACTTGTGGACAGACAGGTGAAACTCGTAAATTAGAATATGGTGCAAAAGTTAATTTATTTCAGTAATTCAACTTAAAAGGTGAAACTAATATATTATATAGACTCATTACATGCAAAGTGAGATATTTCAAGCCTTTATTTGTTATAATTGTGATGATTATGGTTTACAGCTTATGAAAACCTTTCACAATATTCTAAGTGTCATTTTGGGGTTTTCATAAGCTGTAAGCCATAATCATCACAATTATAACAAATAAAGGCTTGAAATATCTCACTTTGCATGTAATGAGTCTATATAATATATTTGTTTCACTTTTTAAGTTGAATTACTGAAATAAAAGAACTTTTGCACCATATTCTAATTTACGAGTTTCACCTGTAATATCTAAATAGTAAATATCGATATAGCCCTGAATCGAATCGCAGAATATTTTTTCGGCAAATATCGTATCGCTGGCTGAGAGAATCGATATCATATTTAATCGTGATGAACCGTCCGATTTACACCCCCGGTTATACGTGATTAATTTTAGGGATGGTTTCGACGGTGAATCACTTTGCCTCCCTTTTTTTAAAGTTTGATGTGTAAAGTCAGCAAATTCAATGGTGATTGTTTACTTTATTGATTTGTTGTAGCCCTAGTTGAGTTGAAATTCACTTTTGATTGAATTTTGCTTCACAAATGATTGTTTGATAGAAAGTATTAAAAGCAGAAAGTAAATCATAAACGCGTCACCGTTCACAATCGGCTCACTTTTGTCAAGTGCTACAGAACATGCTCACGCGTATTCATCTGGAAGACGACAAAGGAAAATTGTGATTAGCACGCAAATAATGGATGAAGTCTAATTGAAATGTTTCCTCTTTGTCTTGTCATGTGATTGAAAGGAAAGCTTTTGAGCTGGAAATGGTTTGGTCAGGCTGAGGGCAAGCTGTTTCTGTAAAGGCGTAGGACATTTAGCGCTCTATTTTACATGCAAAAGGCTTCTGAATATCCAGAGGAGGACAAAAGACGGATTGACAAGAAGATAAGGGATTTTTGAAAAGCCTGGCCAACATGGGTGTTATAATGAAATGTACAGAAATTGAAGAGCGAGGCAGTAACAATAGCCGAACGACGAGGATGTAGAAAGCCACAAAAGTGAGTGAAAAGGCTCATCTTCCAGACGCAGTGAATTAGATTCTATTCCCCATTTATGCTAATCTCATCCGTAACACGTTTGAGAGGGTTGGGGGAAACGCTGTACTGTTGTGTTACAATGCAAAGATAGGCTTCGTGAGACTCGCCTATTTTATGTAATTTTTAAGAAATTGAACTTGAATCTAACATGAAGGTGTCACACCTGAGAGATGCTTTCTCTCATGCTCATTGTGCCTGTTGTAGATCGTGTGTCCTCTTGCATTGAAATTCAATTGTGTGCGGCTAGTGCACTAGTTTGTGCCGATCGACGATAGTCAGAGATATCGCTGATGCCTTTGACGATATCAATACGATAAGTGGGTCGGTTTCCCATTTACATGTGAAACTCGAAATATTTGAATATCGTGCAAAAGTTAATTTATTTCAGTAATTCAACTTAAAAGGTGAAACTAATATATTATATAGACTCATTACATGCAAAGTGAGATATTTCAAGCCTTTATTAGTTATAATTATGTTGATTATGGCTTACAGATATGAAAACCTTTTCACAATATTCTAATTTGGAATTTGGGGTTCCCTTTCGTTGTCACTCCGAGTTCCGTCGGATGACGACGTATGGGGTTTCGCTTAGAAGCCTATCAACTTCAAGTACTACAAAACGAGCCAATGGCAAAGAAATGCCATGGGTCTTCGGAATTTGCATGGGGCAACTCTGCCCTACCTCGTGGGTATAAAAGGAGGACGCCGGCAGAATGCAGATATGTTTTCGCTTCGGAGCCAAGTTAATTCTTCACTCCTTTAGCCATCTCTGATTTTGTCAGCTTCTTACGAGACGAGCAACCTCTCCAGTATTGGTGTGACGGCGATCTCCCGGCGAGTGCACACTTCCTGCTAATCTGTGCATGGTTTGCCAGTTGGTGTGTTTCTCCGCGGGTGCTTCAGCACTCAAGTTTTTTTCTCACAAAAGATCTTGCACGCGGCACGTCTTTTTAAAGTAGAGCCTCCACGGCCAGGGACGGATTAAGGCGATGATGTGCCCTGGGCACGGATGTCTCAAAGGCCCCCGTCACCAATTTTTTGGACAACAGTGGGCAGGCAAGCCAGGCATTTTAAGGGGACCCCCAAGGGCTGGTCATTTAAACAATCAGAAATGTTAATAATAACAGACGCAGCAACATCTCTGCATCCCCCAGTGTGGAGCCTCTCGCTCGTTACGCTCGTTATGCTTTTACCTTTTTCAAACTGGTGCAGCGCTAACTCGCGGTAGGTAGAAAATGCATGATTTGATTTGTTAAACATGAAAAGGACTTATCCGTCTGGCATGGCAGCTCGCTCTAACTATAACCTAGATAAATGCATATCCAAGTGCGTGTGCGGAGTGTGCAGCGCGCACTGCATGGCAAGCGTCGGCGCGAACACTTGCATTTCCCTATCAACAGTGGAAACAACTTGAAATAGGACTACTCAATCTTTTCTGGTCATAGGCCTATACAGAAAAGAATAATGCATCAGTCGCAAGTAGGTACCTTTATTTTTGTAAACTCACAATAACAAGAAAACGTTGTGCTTTTGTAAAATAAAATAAAATAAACAGGGCGCGCTTTCATGGTCTCCGTGGCGTGAACTGGAGCGCGTCTCAAAAATGAACTGAAACACAGTGTATAGCCTCACATTCATGATTAATATTTCTATATAAAGCTTGAAATGTCCAATCGAATCGAAAGCAAATACCGGCTGATTAGGCTGATATGACATGAAAGGTGCATTTCTCTCTAAAGGCACATCCACTTTACAGCGGAGATATAGCTAGATATGTTTGCAGCCGACACTGATTAAATTTGTATTTTTTAAAATTATTATTAAACAATAAAAATGCCTAGTTTTTTTCCAGACATATATTATCATTAGCCTGCTTTTGCCGGTGCTTTGCGGCAATATTTATGCATGCGCTTGCTTGAGCGCGGAATAGGCTATATGCCTCCACTCAGTATTTAAGCAGAAATTAATATTAACTTGAGATTAGTCGACTAATTGCTTAAAGGAATGACTACTAGTCGTTGACTAGAAAATCTTTAGCCAATGGCAATTCTAATCAATGCATTTAGGCTAGTTGACATTTATTTAATTAGTAAGCTAGCCTAATTCTAGCAGGTCTTTACGTTAAATTCGTTGAGTTAACAATTAGTTAATGAACTAAAATAATAAAACAAAGATTAAATTGCTTGTTCCACCACAAAATACACTTTTTAAGGTGACAATCCGTTACACATTTGAAGATTTACTGTATCTTGAAGATTGTTGTATTGTATTATATCTTCTGTTATAAAGATGAAGATTGACATTTCGTTAAAAAAAAAAGCCCATAGGCTACTATTGTAAAACATAAACAACTTAGCCTATCTTCTGTCTTGGTTGTGGTTTTAAACTCATTTTTGTTTTGCTTTTTGAGTAACCGTCTTCTACGCGTGACTTTTATATTACGCAATGCTTTTCACTCGCCTCTAGATGTCCTTCTCAACAGCGCAGCAATACATCAAAATTATTTATTTGATTTATTTACTAGTTAATACTTTGCAACAGAAAAAAAAAAATCACATTATTCCTCAATATTTAAAAATTTTACTGAAAATAAAAATAAAATAAAAATAATTATTTGAAAAGAATAGACACAGTACATTTTACAGGGCCCCCTGCTGGCCCAGTGCCCTGGGCAAGTGCCCAGTAGGCCCGTGCGTTAATCCGTGCCTGTCCACGGCTCTACTTCGGCTGGTGGCCAGGGTGATCTGAGGGTGACTGTGTGGAACAAAGCGCCGACTATCTGTCCGTGCCCCACAGCACCTTCTTCAGTGTTGCAACCCGCGAGTGTTCAGGGGATTGCCGCGGGACCATCTTCGGGTGCCCCGCGGGTTTCCTTTGGCGCTCCAGAGGAAGACGCGATGTCAATTGCAGCATCACAAGACGGGTCTGATTCGTCTGGAAGTGACGACTCGTCACAGCTGCCACCTTCGGGTGTGAATACGGCTGTGGCTCAGTCGGATCCAGAGATGACGGCCATGCTTTCCCGGGCGGCAGCGTGCATCGGGTTAGAGTGGACCCCTCCACCCTGTCCCAAGCGCTCGAGGCTGGAGGATTGGTTTTTGGTTGCCGTCCGCAGCCTGCCCCAATACCTTTCTTCCCGGACGTGCATGATGAAGTCTCAAAGTCCTGGAAGACACCCATGTCTTCTCGTGACCGCTCGTTGATTTCGTCTGCTTTTCCTCCCCTCGATGGGGCAGCTGCCCGTGGGTACACTGGGCTCCCCTCGGTTGAACGCTCTGTTGCAATGCAACTGTGTCCTCAGAGTGCTTCTTCTCGTGGCGAGCCTAAGCACCCATCCAAAGCCTGTAGGTTTTCGTCTACATTAGTGGCGAAGTCCTACAGAGCGGCGGGACAGGCAGCTGCTTCTCTGCATGCCATGGCCACTCTGC